CAAGAAAGGCTGTAGAGGCAGCCGTGGCTCGGGTGGAATGCGCTCGTGGTGGGCTCTGTAACGGTCTATTGCCCAGAGAGTAGCACTTGATTAGACAGGTCGATATCCACTTCGAGATTCGTTGCGATGATACTGGTGTCCCTTTGGATCGTTCAGCGATGGAAATAAAAAGTCTTTCAGATTTACGAAATGGTTTTGTTCTTTCTAGGAAGAAGGCCAGAGCCCTCCGGATGTCCAGAGTAAGCTGGGTGACATCTCTCTGTGAAGAGTGTGGTTTCAGGAAAAAGGTAGGTAATACGATCGATTCGTTGATGTGGAATTCCGTACAGACCTTAGGCAGGAACATCGGGTGGGGTCTAAGTATGACCCTATCCTTTGTGAAAACGGTGTAAGGGGGTTCCGACATATTAGTGCTGCAAGTTCACTCACCCTTCTGACAGAGGTGATGGCTAAGAGGAAGCAGACTTTCATAAAAAGGAAGGGAAGTGGTATTGTTGCCAATGGTTCAAAAGGAGGTCTGGTGAGGTAGTCCAAAACAAGATTTAGGTCCCACAAGTGGGTGGGGCCTTATATGGTGGGTACACATTTTGAAGTCCCTTGAGGAACCTCTTCGTGATAGGATGGTTAAAAATGGAGAAGCCGTCCACCGAGGTATGAAATGCTGCTATTGCAGAGAGATGTACTCTTAGAGAGGAAATTGACAATCCTGATGCTTTAAGGTCCATAATGTAATCTAGTATGGTATTCAGTGGAGGGACACGGGGTTCCACTTTGGCTCGTACCCATTTTTGCTGGTAGGTTTTTCGAGTGGATTGCCTCCTGCTATGGAGGAGGATGTCTTTTACTTGCTGTGAGCAGCGGTCTTCTATCTCTGAGAACCAGAAAGAAGCCACGCCTGAAGATGCAGGGTACGGAGTTGGGGCTGTAGTATCCTGCCATTGTCCTGAGATAGTAGGTCTATCCGGTATGGTAATGGATGGGGAGGCTGGACCGCTAGCTTGTGAAGGTATGGGTACCAGGTTTGGCGAGACCATGATGAGGCAATCACGATGACTAGGGCTTTGTCTCTCAGGATTTTGCGTAGGACTCTTGGGATGAGAGGTATGGGGGGAAAGGCGTAATGTAGGGGCGCTGCCCATTGTCCTGAGATAGTAGGTCTATCCGGTATGGTAATGGATGGGGAGGCTGGACCGCTAGCTTGTGAAGGTATGGGTACCAGGTTTGGCGAGACCATGATGAGGCAATCACGATGACTAGGGCTTTGTCTCTCAGGATTTTGCGTAGGACTCTTGGGATGAGAGGTATGGGGGGAAAGGCGTAATGTAGGGGCGCTGCCCATTTGATTAGAAAGGCATCCCCCAGAGAGTGCTTGCCAAGTCCCGCACGTGAGCAGAATTGGGGACATTTGGTATTCTGGGCCGAAGCGAAGAGCTCTATAGATGGCCATCCCCACTGGTGGAAAACTGAGTTTGTGACCTCCGTATGTAATTCCCATTTGTGGTCTAAGGTGAAGTTTCGACTGAGGCAGTCCGCTCTGGTATTGTTCACCCCTGGCAGGTAGCATGCTATGAGGGTGACCTGGTTGCGGATGCACGAGTTCCAGAGGCAAATAGCCTCCGTGCACAGGGAGCAGGAGTGGGCTCCGCCCTGTCTGTTTATGTAGAACATCGTGCAAATATTGTCCGTTAGGATACGAACTGTATGATTGGCGATGTCGGAAGCAAAGTGTGCGCAAGTGTTCCTTACTGCTCTGAATTCGAGTGTCTCGTTTGGGGACCACCTGCCCTGAACTTCGCAGCTGTACATATGTGCACCCCAGCCAAGAAGGGAAGCATCCATGGTAATTTGGATAGTTGGTTCAGTTTGCTGGAATGGGACCCCCACCAGAAGATTGTTTAGCACAGTCCACCATCGTAGGGATGCAAGCACGTTTGGTGGGATAGTAATTCTCTTGCTTCGAGGATGTCACGATGGGATGTAAACGGTCGCCATCCAGAGCTGGAAGCATCGAAAGTGTAGGCGAGCATGGTGGACTACGTAGGTGGTGGAAGCCATGTGTCCCATTAGTCGGAGGCATGTAAGTACTGTGGTAGTAGGTATTGTGAGCATTGGTTCTAATTTCCTGTCTCGTTGCGAAACGTTGCCGAGGTAGGTATGCTCGGGCTGTAACAGAGTCCAGTCGTGCGCCAATGAACTCTTTATCTTGGACCGGGTGCAGCGCTGATTTGTCTTTGTTGATCAGTAGGTCTAGATGATTGAGAAGGGTCACGGTCGTATGAATCATAGAGGTGGTTTTGGCGTATGAGGATCCCTTTAGAAGGCAGTCGTCCAGGTAGGGGAATATGATAACGTTCTGCTGTCTGAGGTACGCAGCTACAACTGCTAGTACCTTCGAGAATACTCTCGGCACTGATGAAAGGCCGAAGGGAAGAACGTTGTATTGGAAGTGGTCTGGACCGAGCGCAAAGAGTAGGTAGCGTCTGTGGGAGGGGTTATATGGAAATAGACATCTTGGAGGTCGAGGGCTGCGAACCAGTCCCCTCGATCTAGCACAGGAATGATTGTGGAGAGAGTGACCATCTTGAAACGCTGTTTCTTGAGAAATTTGTTCAGTTTGTGGAGATCCAATATAGGTCTCCAACCCCCTGTTCTTTTCTTGGTCAAGAAATAGTTTGACTCGGGGTACCCTTTCTATAGCTCTGATGATGAGGAGCCGATTGATTTCTTGTTTTAGAAGGGTTTCGTGAGAGTGGTCCCTGAAAAGGGACGGGGTAGGGGGAAGGGTAGGGGGGGATAGAAATAAAAGGGATGGTATAGCCCACTCAAATTATTTCTAGGACCCAGCGGTCCGATGTTATGGATTCCCACTGTGGGAGGAAGGTGAGCAAACTGTGGCTGAATAGATGGCCATGTTGAGGTGCTAGATCGAGAGGGAGGTCTTGCAGGCCAAATGTTCAAATTTGCAGCTTAGATGGTTGGGTAGCCAGCGGGCAAGCTTGGTTGGGTCGCCTTCTGGGACCTCACTGTCTTGGTCTGTTGTCTTCATAAGGCCTCTGTGGTCGATTGTATTGTCCATACCGGTATTGATTATATGAATTATATGGGGTGTATCGCCTGCCTTTATAGGGTTGCGTGCACATACCTAGCGTGCGAAGTGTGGACTTAGAATTTTTGCTGTTGTGGAGCATTTCGTCCGTAGTGGCTGCAAATAGCTTTTGTTTGTCAAATGGCAGGTCCTCCACTTTGGGCTGGAGTTCGCGGGGAACTCCAGACGACTGGAGCCAAGAAGCTCTATGCATCACCACTGCTGTAGCTGTAACTCGGGCTGCAGTGTCAGCTACATCCATTGCTGTTTGGAGAGCGGTGCAGGCGATCATATGGCCCTCATGAACTATTGATTTTAAAATGGGTCTTTTGGAGTCGGGGAGGTGTGCCATTAGTTCTCCCAGTTTTGAGTAGTTGTCAAAGTTGTGATGTGCTAAGAGAGCAGAGTAATTTGATATTCTGAGTTGTAGAGTGGAAGAGGAGTATACTTTCTTGCCAAAGGAGTCCAACTTTTTGTGGTCCTTGTCTGCATTGTCT